AGAGGAACAAGACAAAACTACGTATTTGGCCCAAGGATTGGGCCAGATACATCAAAAAAAATAAAAATTGAAGTAAAAGGCTCAAATTTAGGCTAAGGGGAGCTTGGGGGTAGCTTGGGATGATGAGAACCATGGATCTCAGCCAAATCCGAGGCTGAGATTGGAGCCGTCACTTGGAAAAATGCAACGGCCTACCCAAAAGAGGCCTAGACCAGGAAAAAAACGAAAAATGGGCCTCTATGCCCTCAAATTTCAGTAAAGGCTGCATTTTGGGAAGTGGTACCCCAAAAGGCAGCTCTTTTTGAAGAAAAGAGAGGCCGGGGTAAGCCAAGGGGTAGTCCGAGAAGGTACCAGCCTCTCGAACTGCATGTACCTGGCCAAATTGAGGCCCAGGTACCTCCGGAGAGGCCAAAACCGGAAATTTGGCCTTGGGGGTACCTCGCTTCACCTAGAGGCACGTGGGGAGGCCTAGGGGTAGGGCGGTGCACCACTTCCAGCCTACATAAGCTAGAGGTGCAGGCCGCCACTCCCACTTGAGCATCAGAGGAGCCCATGCTGCCAAAATGAGTCCATGAGAGAGTGTTAGTGGAGAAGAGCAAGGAAGTGAGAGTCGGAGCTAGCCTGGAACCTGACTATAGTGATGGGACTAAGGGAGAAGACCTAGAAGATAGGGAGAAGCAAGGAAAGTGGTCCGCCATCGCCCTCAGGCTGTGAGGTAGAAGGAGAGGCTAAGAGGGGTCCCCATAGCCCTTCTAGAGGGAAGGACTCCACAGCCTCAGAGGTAGGAGCCTGCCATGACTTGAGAAGAGGAGTGAGAGAAGGAGGAGAGAGACTTGGGGGGGGTGGGAGAACTATACTCAAGGAGCTAGAACCAAGCCTGGAAGGTCATTGACTAGGGACCAGTGGGAGGTGAGTGAAAGAGGAGGAAGTTTCTCCTTCTCCTCCTCTTCTTCTTCTTCTTCTTCTTTTTCTTCTTCTTCTTCTTTCCCTCTTTTCCTCTTTTCCTTCTTCTTCTTTCTCTTCTTCCTCTCCCTCTCCTCCTCCCCCTTCTTCATCTACTTCCTCCTTCCAAAACTTGTCCTTTTGCTGATTTGGATGCCTATGTGTGTTGCGCTTCATCCTAGGATACTTCGGTGATCATTCCCCTAGTGTAGATGTCATCAAACTTGTCATTTT